AGAGAGAGAGAGAGAGAGAGAGAGAGAGAGTGAGAGAGAGAGAGAGAGAGAGAGAGATTGAGAGAGAGAAGGAGGGAGAGTAAAACCGAAAGGGATGGAAAGAGAGCGAGAGTGAACGAGTGAGTGGAAAGGAGAGTGAAAAGTGAAAAGTGAAAAGAGTGAGAGAAAAGTAGGGGGAGGGGCACATAATGTTAGTAAAAGATTAGAAAAAAAGAGTGAGAGGGCGAGCAACATAGAAAGGGAGAGGATACGAGTCAAATGAAGTGAGAGAGAAAGAGAGAGAGAGAGAGAGAGCGAGAGAGAAATCGAATGTTTTCGAATGTGGCGGCTGATTTGCGGACACGGGATCTCGCGTGACTAGACGCCGTACCTAACTAGGCTGTCGGCGGCTGACAGATGTACGGAATCAAAGTCCGGCATCAGAATCCGGCCTGCTACGAACACGGAGAGAGGCGACGACGCACGTGTGTATATCGACCAGATCCATCACACTATGCACTTGTTACTGATATCGCCTTCGCTGTGTCGCGTCTCCTACGGCTAATGGAACACGTTGCCACGCGCTCGTGCGGCTGGCGAATGCAGAGCGAGTAAGATGATACGTCTTTTATGTACGGCATCTGCTGGCGGCCGGGCAGCGCTTGTACGATTCGCCCTCCGGCCCGACACATTAGAACACGCGCCCGCTACATTAGCCAGCTTCTTAAGTTACGGCACACCTGGCGTGATGGCGGCGACGATGATGATGATGATGGTAGCGACGATGATGATGATGATGACGGCGACGATGATGATGATGATGGCGGCGACGATGGTGATGATGGTGACGGCGACGACGGTGCATATTATATAACATAGCTTATCATGGCTGCATTAGAGCTGTCGGCCATATTAAACTGAGCAGTGACGTCATAAGACGGATGCAGTTCTTGTTAGCCCGCTGTAAACGTCAATATTTGTATAACGTTTGGCATATTAAGCAAATCGTATATACTGTATCAGAATTGCGCAATCTTATGGTGATAATATCAGGAGTTCATAATGACAAATTTGTCATTATTAACTCCTGATAATATTAGAGAACTCTTCCAATATCACGCGCTTCTGACGCTATATGAAAGCATTGGCTTGTGTATGAAAACAAGCGGCAATTTCTCCGTACGACGTCGTATCAGGACAGTACAGACGATCAATATATATTCCGGGAAGCCACACAGAGACAGCTGATCTAATCAATTCGGACATATAAGCCGCAACAACGCACGCTCACGGCGGCCGGGAGGGGAACCTATCTGTTATTTTAGAAAACAGTTTCTATTAGGTTTCGCAGCCGACACGCGCGCGCGCCCGCTTTACACAACTAATCAAATAGACGTTGAAATCGACTTCATCCCGATCTCTGGCAGCAGCTGGCCGTCCCTATGCAGCGAATGCATCCCGGAGTTCTCCTATGTGGCCGGGTTATCGCTCACGGACAGCTAAGCAGATTCCGCTCGCTCGATCGCGTGCGAACACAGCGTAGCTCATGCGTGC